AATTTCAATATGGTAAACGCATTAAAAAAAAAAAAAACTTAGACATCCCAAGAACTAAACTGCTAAGTAGAAACTTTGGAAAAATAGTATTTCATACTACTGTAAAATACTTTATTTTCGCTTGGAATTTATTTTCGTTATTTTCGTTGAAGGGATGATTCCATGAAAATAAAATCCAGTGAATATACTTTTTTTCCTATATTTCACATTAAACTCATGAAAAAATCAGTGAAAATAAATTCCAAGCAAAACGCCCAAAAAGCCTTTTCAGCGAAAATTAATTCCAGCGAAAATAAAGTATTCCACAGTATGGGAAAAACAAAATTACAGGAAATTCAACATCTTTGGAGTAAAAGAAAATAGAGCAAATCAAAGTGAAGAAAACAAATTTTGCACAGCTTTACTTCCGTCATCTTCTCAGAATTTCGACCGCTAACACAATATGGACCCCCAGTTGCCTCTAATGTGATTCTAAAAATCACCTTGCTTAAAGTGCCAACAATTTCAAGTACAAGACTCCAGCAATTTAGCCTTTTCATCCCAATTAGAACCCAGACTTATAATATCAAATTACATCTGTTTAGTACAAAGTATATATTAGACATTTTTAAAGAAATTTAAATAATCTGAACATTTTTTTTACTAACATGTTACATTGGTTCAGTGTGTACAATGTAATTGATAAGCTTATAACAATTACTATATTAATATTGCATCTGCTTTCAACTGTTAGTATGATTAAAGATCTCCGATTCTTTTAAAGTATATTAACCGTAAACTTCAAATAAATAAATTGATTTGATATGTATTAAAACTGGCGAATATTTTCAAGTGCTTATGCAAATGACAGACATGTCTTTGTTGAAAATAAGTCATATATTGAAAAGCAAGGTCATCAAGCTATAAAATGCTCAATTTAATTTGAAATGCTCAATGAATAAAAGTCAAAAGGAAGATGGGCTGTGATTGGCTCTCATCGGTCACCTGACGATACCAATCTAGCCAATCATGAAACATGTGTTTCATTCATGCATGAATACAAACAGTGAGTGAAAATCTGAAAGATTATGTAATCATAATTTGAAATCTTAATTTTGTGATCACAACATTGAATAAATTACATGCTTTTTTGATTCATTATTTACTTTAAAATGAACAAAACATAATTTTCGGGAAGATTTAGGGATTGACCACTTTAATTTCACTGGAAATAATTTTTTAGTGAATTTGGAAAATCATGAACTATTTTAAAATGCTTAGCGATATTCACTAGGGTTGTTAATTACAATTTTTGTGCTAACCTCACAAAATCATCAACATGTCGAAACAGCTAGTGACGAAAATGTCTTTCCACAACAAAGCAACAGAAACTAAACAGTTTTAAAATTAGTTTTAAAACGGATGGATCAAACAGAAAACTAAACAGTTTTAAAATTAGTTTTAAAACGGATAGATCAAACATTTGTGTGTATCCACCACACTCCTGTACTTTTCCTACTTTAACTTGAATGAATTTCTTGGCCAGTAATGGCATCCCTAACTGCTTTATCAATCATACTCTACAGGTCACTGACAGCAATAATTGGAACAGGAAACGCAAAGTTTATTTTTGTTATCAGTTTATAGGCCTGAATAGAAACATATACAACTACAGATGTTACTATGGTAACCTTAGCAAGTATAGAACATAACACAAGATTGCTATAACTCTAAACATTTCATGATAAAAATTATGCAACATCAGCTGGCTTATTGATAGAGACATAAATCACCGAGCACCAATGCAACTTTGTCACCTTTTTAAAAATAAACCCACATAACTGGCCTTATTATTGTGATATGATAGAAAAATGTAAAATGCACAAAATGCACCAAAATTATGTTATTCATTAAAAAAAACAAAAAAAACAGCGAGTTGATTGGGCCGGACATATTGGTTGAAAAATCATGCCTGTCGCAACCTCCAATGTCCATCATAATTAACTTCTGCAGACATTTGACAAGTTGAAATGAAATAGCTGATCAATTTGCATTATATTTTCTTGCACGCAGAAACATACTTTGGTGAAATTAATCCCCAAATCCTTTATGAGCCACTCCAGCGATGTGGGCGAATTACCAAACATATATTTGATCGCCCTGTTCCAAACACCACATCCTTTCTGAAATGCTTTTAATTTCAAGATTACAGTCCCTTGAAGTTAGTAACCACACCCATGGCACCACAGGATATCAAATCATTGTGTGACTCAATGTGTGACTTGATATATAGTTTCGTTCACATGCAAAACACAGAAAGTTAAACATTCGTCTGCAGCTGTTGCATAAGATGCATATAAAATAATATACTGTGAAATATTTTATTTTTGCTGGAATTAATTTTTGCTGGAAAGGCTTTTTGTATGGAATTTATTTTTACTGATTTTTGATGAGTTTAATGTGAAGTATAGGGAAAAAAGTATATTCGCTGGATTTTATTTTCACGGAATCATTCCATCAGGGAAAATAACAAATATAAAGTATTCTACAGTAATATATTTTCTATATTATTAGTGCATTTGCTTATGTCAATTACAGAGGTGCTCCTGGTCAAAATAAGTGGCATTCTGCAATGCAATTTTTAGTCCATATGCACTTTTATTGCAGATGCAGTTCTAATAGATCAAATACGGTAAACAAAAACAATGCAACTACAATCAAGTTAGTAGATTAGTACATTATAACTTTTTTTTTATACAGACTGTTGTTTGGAAGTAACAATGGCCTTACATGACATATACACAACTGTAAACAACTTTGCCTGGTTATGAATCAAACAGCCACTGCAAAGTCTCTGTATGACTCAGTAATTTGTTCAAAAAGCAATAAATTTCCTGGTAAATTACAGCCAAAAATCCAGAAAAAAAGTCATTCTAGTCAATTTGTTTTCCAAACTTGCAGGTGTACATTTTTTTTTTAAATATGCTTTTATTTCAATTTTTCATAAAAATTACTTTTGTTTTTTCAAAAATTCTGACAGAAACCTATTACAAAAATAACATCATTATTTCTGCAGGGCATTATGTAATATAACTAATGGTCTAGTTTATAGTGTTCAATAAACTGTTTACACATCTCCTACAAAATCACTTGAGCAGAAAGTATTAACACCTACTTGAGGAGACTAGTAAGTATTGTAATATAACTTAGGGAGCTGCCATCAATATTGGGAACTAATGGCAACTCACTCTATCTTCAAAAAATTTTATGTAAATTTTTGTACTTTTTCAGTAATTTTCTTTAATGTTAATGTTAAACCAAACTGATAGAATGAAATACTACAGATGGATTTTGATCAAATTTTTCCATTTTATGCTTATGATTGTGAAAACCAGAACTACTAATAATGACCTAACAATCTAAACAACAATTTTTTGGGGAAAAAAGTTGAACATTGTAGCAGTGAATATTTCATTGAGGCCCCTAACACAAGTAAGCATATTTAGTGACTTTCATGAATGTGCACAAATAAAATTTTTGAAATCACAGTAATTTTGAGAAAAAGTGTTGAAAATTTACAATGGCCATGCGATTACATTTATTTTGGAATAAAACTGACATAATTTGTCATTGTTTTAAAAACAAGCTCATATTTAATTGTTGACATAATTACAATGTATTTACAATATAATATCTGATTTTACCCCAAAAAAATATTGTATTTGTACACTGTAATTTATTTACCATATACAATTTGAATGAACAAATTGCGAAAAAATCATTTCCAAAAAAAAAACATTGATAAAATGATATTTTTCCTGCAATGTGTTAATACCTTATGTTATTTTAATCTTCTCATACCAACTGCATGAATAATTAGTCTTGCAACAACCCAATGTGATTGGTTAGTTGTTAACTGGATAGCATTAACATAAATCTAGGGTTATTATATGTCCAGTGTGAAAACAATATTATCATTTGAATTTTTAGTTTTAATACAAACTGTAACTACCCACAATCATCTTTGTTTTGTTGCCTTTTTTTAACCTTTGAACTTTTATCACATTTTATAAATTAAACCTGCAGGATTTTTTTCATATTTTGTTTTTAAAATTTATGATACAGATGTGGCCAAAAAAAACCTATGACTACAATGTATGTGGTTAAAAATTATGAAAACGATTATAAAAAAATATGCAGAACAGAACAGAAAAATTATGATTTTCAAAGCGTTAATTTACCTGTAATCTGAAAAATATTTTGCAATCAAAAACAGGGTGAATACCTTGTCACAGTTTAGTTTAGTTTTTAAATGGCTATTAAAATTAATTATGCAAATTAACTAACTACCTCATCTAGCTAAACTATAAATGAATAAACAATCAAACTTCAATTTATCTATTAAGTTAAAGGACCTTAACTTAAACAGATGGACAGACCAGAGCATTGCTGACAGTAAAGTGCGTTGACTTTTAGAAGTTACCAGTCAACCTCATACTTTCAAATCTCATAATAATTATTATAAAACTGACAGAAACCAAAAAAAAAGTTATGTGTAAAAGTTCTACATATATCCTACATATTTGGAACATATATGAACCCAAGTCTGACAATATTCACAAATAGATTGGTTGCTATAGTAACATTTAAAATATATCATTCTACCAATCATGATGCTAAGAAGTGTAGGCATATAACTTTCACACAAAAAGGTGTTATTATTTAAACAGATTTTCAAACTTTTGTTTTTAAATAAAATCAGATCAGTGTTTATATCATGTTACCATATTTGTTCTATTAGAAATACAACTCCAATAGAAGTGCACATAAATAATAATTTGCATATATTGCATTCTGGGTCATTACAATATGACTTATTCTGAGTATAGACGCATATCTCAGTCATTTATGTAAGACCAAGCTGTACTAGCAGAGCAAATACGCTAATCTTGGGAAAAACAAGAATTAATTACAAAATTAGTAAAAATAATTAGTTTTATATTTTAAAAAAATGTGCTAACCTGGTTTTTTGAGTTCCTCATCAGTGATAACTTGACTAGCAGGACGGACTGATGAATCTGAAGAGATAGAGATCGGGCTGAGAGGTCGTATTTCAATATCGTCGCTACAAGTTCCAGGCTGGCTTCCATCTGGACTCACAAGATGGTCCCCACCCTCAGGCACAGTCACATGGCTTACAGGACGTGAGGTTTCCCCATCTGTGGTTGGCTGATCTGTATCACTGGAGAAGCTGGTTATACTTAGAGGTCGTAGTTCATCGTCAGATCGTGTGGTGTCAACATCGGATTTGGTAGCGTCTGGATCTTCAAAGCTGCTGATGCTTGTAGGAGATGTTGGTGAAGCTGGGTTTTCAGCATCTGCACTTTTTTCAGCTTTTCTCTTCTCTTTGTGTTTCAGTTTCCATGACGAATCTTTTTTCTTCTTTGGTGTGTCTTTTTCGGCTTTTCTTCTTTTTCCATGTTCAGTTTTTTCACTTGTTGCTTGCTCCTTATCTTTCCTCTTTTTCCCTTTCTTTTCTTCTTTTTTATCTGGAGATTTCTTTTCAGTTTTCGCTTCTATTTTTTTGTGTTTCTCTTTTTTCTGTTCTTCACTGGGTTCAACTTCAACCTCTGCTTTTACAATAATTTCTTTTTTTATTGTAATTTCCTGCTCTTTGTCATCTTGTTGTGATTTTCTCTTCTTTTTCTTCTCTGCCTTATCTTTTTTATCCTTTTTGCCTTCCTTTGTTTTCTTTTTGGGGCTTTCTTTATGTTTTTCCTCTTTTTCAGCATCTGGACTCTCCTTTGTTGTATCATGCTCTGTAATTTCTTCAGAATTAATACTGGTAATTGATAAAGGTCGACCACCTTCATCGACCACAACCAACCCTGTTTCAATAACTTCTTTTGGTTTTTTCTCTTCTTCTTTTGGTTTCGTCTTTTCTTCTTTATTTTTTTTCTTTTCTTCTTTGTGCTTTTTTTTGTGTATCTTGATTTTTCTTTTTTCTTTTTCCACTTTAACTGGCAATACTTCTACTTTTTCTGGCTCTTCTTTTTCAACTATTTCCTGGTCAATCTCTGGACTTACTACTTTAATTGCAGCTTCTTCTTTTTCCGGCTCACCAATTTCCTTCAAGTCTTCAACTTCCTCCGGACTTACTACTGCAATTACGTTTTCTTCTGGCTCACTGATTTCCAGTTTTTCTGGCTCACTGATTTCCAGTTTTTCTGGATCACTGATTTCCAGTTGTTCGGGCTCAATGATATCCACTTTTTCCTGGTCATCAACCTCATCTGGACTAACTGTTGCAATAAGGTTCTCTTCATCAGGTTTTTCTGGCTCACTGATTTCTACTTTCTCTAGTTCATCAACTCCTTCCGGATGGACTATGGCAATAATTTTCTCTTCCTCAAATTTTTCTGGCTCATAAACTTCCATATTTTCCTGGTCATCAATCTCATCTGGAATGACTACTGCAATAATGCTATCATCCTCCGTTTTTTCTGGCTCCCTGACCTCAGCTTTTTCCTGGTTATCAACCTCATCCGGACCGACTACTGCAGTTTTTTCTGGATCACTGACGTCTATTTTTTCCTGTTCATCTACCTTATCTGGACTGACTACAGCAATAACGTTTTCTTCCTCACACTTTTGTGGCTCACTTACTACATTTTCTTGGTCACTGGGTGCTTCAATGCGTCCTGATGATACTACTTGATCGTCACTCACTTTACTGGGTACTTCCACTACTACCAAACCAGTTTCTATTACAGATTTCCTATTTTTTTCTTTCTCCTTGGATGGTTTCTTTTTCTCTCGTTTTTGTACTTTAACAGGCTTTGGAAGATCTTCCTTGGTTTCTCCAGACTCTTTACTGCTATGTGATGCCTCCTCTTTTACAGGTGCCTTCACTTTCTTATCATCCTTTTCTTTTTTGTCTTTCTTTTTCTTTTCCTCTTTCGGTGTCTTTTTTTTCACTGCTTTTTCCTTCTTCTTCTTCCCTTTCTCTAATGTACCTTCTTTTGATGTGTTAGATTCTTTTGTATCATCCGTACTGATACTAGACACAGATATTGGCCTCTCATCTTTTCCAACCACTACCAAACCAGTTTCAGTGGTTGTCTTTTTATCTTTATTCCTATCCTTGGATTTCAGAATTTTCTTTTGTTTTTCTTTCTTCTCCTTTTTTTTACCCTTGTCTTCTTTTATTTTCTCCTTTGATGAGTCTGTGGCTTTCACATCGCTAGTACTAGGTACCACTATTACAGCTTCTGGCTCTGTGTCTGGCTTTTGTTTATCTTCATCTGTATCCTCAACATTGATTGTGACCTCTGGTGTCTCTTTATTCTCCTCAGAACTAATGCTACTAGTTGAGGAGGTATCATGTTTTTCAATCTGCACTTGAGCCATCTCAGGCTGGATGATTTCTCTTTCCACGACAACAGCCATGATAATTTCATCATCACCACCTTCTGGCTTCTGAAACTGCACAGACTTGTCTTTGGGGACGTCATCCTCTGCTGGTTTTTTGTCATCAAACGTCACCATGTGAGTAGGTTGATCATCTTTTTCTGGGGTAGTAGCGAGTGCGTCATTGCTTTGTTCATCATCCAAACAAAAGTCTCCCGCGACTTCATCTAGTTTTGCAAACTCTTCTTCAACTAGCCTCATTTGTTTTTCCAAATCCCATTCAATTGCAGAAATATCTTCCTCTTTATTATTCAATGATACTGGTTCATCATCTGTTGTCTTAGCAACTTCTACAGGCTCTTCTTCTTTACAAAGATCTTTGCTATCAACATTGTTTTTTCCCTCATCTGTTTCATCCAGATCTTTTTTCTCTGTATCAGGTTCTGATGTGACGGGTGATTTGGGTTCACTGCTTTTCGTTTTCTTATCCTTGTGTTTTTGTTTTTTTTCTTTCGGTTTCTTTTCTTTGAAAACCTTAGCCTTCTTGTATTCCTTCTCCCTCTCCTTATCGTTATGTGGTGTTTGGGTGGCCATGCTATGCTGTTTACTACGACCTGGTGAGAAGTCAAACTTCGGGAAATGTAGTGACTCCAAAAAGCTTCTACGCTTGGCCTTTTTTGCAGTCGCTTCATTTTGCTGTGGGGTTCCATTTTCTGGCGGCGCCATGGCCTTTGGTTCCGTTTCCATGTCAACCACAATCTCCTCAACAACTTTACCTTCCCCTTTTTGTTTTTCGTCTGGGGAAGAATTGACAAGATCACCAACGTCTACACCTACCTCTTTGGCCCCCTCGACATGGCTCTCATCCGATATCTTATCTTCAAGTTGCTGCCTTGGTTCGGCCTCAATGGTTGCTACACTGGCCTCAACTTGTTCGTGTACATCCTTTTGTTCGGCATCCTTTTCCTCGACTTCTCCGTTTGTCTGAGGACGATCATCACTTTCTGGTGCATCTACAGCTAGTGCGGCAGACGTGCATTCCTCTTCCGGGGCTTTGTCGACGCCGTTCTGCTTCTCAGCCGCTAAAACATCGCCAACTTGGTCAAAACTTCCAAGCGGTCGGAACTTGCCCGGAGTGCCTGCATCAGAAATTTCCCCGCTGGCATTCGAATAATCGTGACAGTCGGTGGGTTCCATTTCTGGACTAAACGACATCTTGCATGGACTAGATACAATTTTGTCACAAATTCGGTGACAAACCTGCGACTACAACGAGAGAATCGGGCCTCAAACACCACAGTGAAATGTACATGCACTCCTCTGATATATTTCTTGGCATGTCTTTGCAGAAAGTAATAGTGGCTGTTCCAACAATATGGCATCCACGCTCTGAATTATTAAAACAATTTTTTTTAAAAATTACTTAGGTTTCCATGAATAGTTTCAAATAACTAATCTTGTACATAAAAATGAACTTTATGGTAACATGAAATTATTGCTGTGATTTTATAATAAAGAGTCTGTGACTAATACGGACAAATATTATAAATATTTTAGGGGTACGCAAGCTTAATTGAACAGCCATCAATTCCAATCAAACATAAGCACAGATAAATAAAGTGTCGATGACGTCACAATCCAATTAAAAAGGTCAGTAATTTGGCGGATTTGCCGAAGCATATGTATAAAACAAATTGCACGTTTCTGCCCCGAGTACAAGCATGTATGTGTTTTATGTACTATGCTTATCAAAAAAAAAGGCGGGAAAGGAAACTTATATATGTTTTTGAAGGAAGTATCGCCGATAGATAAACATAAATAAACAGTGATTTAATTTAAAACAGCTGTATGTTTCTAGTTGTTCATAATTCTCGTGTTCAGTATCCTCCCGTTTCTATATTTAGCTTTTACGATCGTGCATATGCATTTGTTTTCCGAAGTTTTTGTCAGTATTTTGCCCTGGTGTATTTATTTTGATTAAAAATTAACACTTGTAATCACAGACCATTGAAATCATTGGTATATCGTGTACCGCTGATGATCTAAGAAAATACTCGTGCGTACGATGACGGGAATGATATGTTATGTGTACACGTACAAGAAATACTTCGGACCATGACGATTACGTCATTCAATTTATTGATTAAATCATTTCGCGATAATGTTAACACATTGGAGGGGACTGAAACAATACGACTGGTGAAAACTCCAATAGTATATAGTATAATGTTCTTTTGCGCCCTCTTATGGCAGATTCGAAAATGTAAAAATGTACTAAGTAAATCTATTTGTAGTTCGGGGAATGGGTGTGGTACTTGCAGCTTAGAGCAAGTGCGCGACGACTCGTCACTAAAATGAACCACTATTCGGCGGTCTCTGGAGATGAATCATTTTTAAACGCGAAATCCATATGAATTTTTAATGCTAAAACAAAGACATGTCTTTGGCTAAACTAAAGAGGGCGAAAATACAATTTGATGATATCGTTAGAGCCCGCGTTTTCTTCTCCAATCATGATTCATTAATTAGTATGACTTGGACTGTGATTGTCGTAGTTAAAGATGGCGGCGAGACAGACTACAGACGGCCCGGCTCGCGCACTGAACGAAGTGCAAATATCCGTTTGCCATTTTAGCTGGCGGCATGTAAACATATATTTCCAATCATGTTTTTGTAAACTTAAATGAAATTGGCGGGAAAAAACATCAATATGATTACATGTTTTGTTTAGAGCCTCGATTGCATTAATGATAATCACGATCGCGCAAATCGGATGTTCCTGGTCCGAAAACAAAAGAGAAAATCATGCGGGCGATTTATATCCACCGATGAGTTGGTTTGATTAGCGCCCCCATCTTGAAATATTTAGTTTACTTTGTTTTTATAATAAAAGTAGAATGATATTTTGGATTTCATTTCAGTTCCGGGCATCCCACACCATAGTTATTGTTATGAAATATTTGAGCATATCTGTACCTCATTTTTAAACGCGTTATTGCAAAAAAATTAGATAATGTACTAATAATGACTGTACGTAGCACGTGAAACGTCTCGGTTTATAGTAGCTTTGAATTTTTGGTGGTCTGATTTTGTTGGTTTGTATATTTAATACTTTCTTCTGTGAAATTTTGCTATGATGTTATATGCAATTTTAGATCAAAATTATGCATACCAATGAAGCTGAGAAGAATGTGCCTTATTCTCGAAGTTGTTCTTACGATCTTCGTCAACTTTACATGGCTATTCGGTTATTGCGTGTATCTTCGGAATCACTCGGGATAGCTATGATCTGTATTCTGGCTTAAAACACGTGACAATCATTTATTGTGTGGTAGTCTTACGGAATCTTTTCTATCTATATTCGGTGTTCGTTTTCAGATTGGTGACTTCGTAGTAGATTTATAGAGTTTTGCTTGTCACAAAACAAACGCGGATTTTTTTCCAAAATTTTGACATTTTTTAATTGAAATCTACGACTAAAAACAAAGTTGACGTTTAAACAGAAATATATTACAGAAAAATAAACTGACTACCTGGGATCATTAATTATAAGGTAAGGAGAGACAAGAAAGAAAAGGAATTCGTCCGCCATACTTATTTCCTTTTATTTGATTTCCTAATGACTTTCAGATGGAAAGGATACACAACCCATCGCAAAGTTCGCATTTTGCACTACATCAGTCTGAGGGAGGCCAGGAATTGTAATTAATTGTATGCCTAACGTGTATGGAGGGGATATCGGCTTGTATCGTATGTATAAACAATCTAGGCGTGTAGTTTATAATAGTTCCTGGGCTCCCTGTGCTTACACATGCAATAACACTGGTAACAATAATGAGCGGGAAAATTACTGAACAAACTATACGACCATTATAATATTAGGCCAAACAAAAAATTGATTTTTGTTGCCTTCAGCGACAGCGAAAAATATGAAATATCGGGTAGCGGTTTTTTTTTGTTTTTTTTTTTTTAATAGGCCCAGATATTAAAAACTCATTATTTTAAGCAGTAAAAAAGTGTTTCCTCTAAAAATTAACGTTCTCGGACTGTTGTTTGATCCCCAGGGTCCCCGGGGGATAAGTGGCGACTTTGAACCTCGGGTTGATCTGTATATCTCTGACATGTTCCGAATACTATGAAGTCCATATACCTCGGCTATCTACGATAACCTTAGTTTTCAGAGTTTAAAAAAAAAAATTCGAACGACCGACCTAATTTTTCAATTTTCCGACTTGAGGGCAACATAAGTTTTTTTTTTTGGCCTTACTGCAAGTCTCAGAAGTATTGTGGCGGGAAATTCGCAAACTCCCTGGCAAATTACTAACTGCTTGGGTTTTGACTAAACAGTTGGCTTTTGAATCTCGATGGCATGGACTTACTCTGGGCGAATCTATATTAATAACTTTATGACTTCTACTCATTCCCTAGGGGAATGAAAATGGTCATTAAAATACACATAATAATTAAAGGTATTAAAAGTAATAAACTAAGATGAAATCACCAAAATGTTGACAACATTTGAAAGACAAAATTGTTCTAGTGAGAGGATCAGGTGAAAAAATGTTTTTGTCAGATAAGCGATATTAAGATAAGATATTAGAGTAAGGGAAATACAGTAATTTTATGAATAAACGATTTTGTAAAAGATTTGTACCACAGGGTCTTGTAACGTTTCAAAGTCAGTATTACCGGGCAGCGAATACTAGACTTGGATCAGTCCCTTGTTTATGTTTTGTTTTTGTTTGTTTTTTCAATAAAATAAAATCTTACGGGAAAGTGTTGTATGTTCTTCATGTAAAGAGGTGTTATTATCTATTTTCATGTGTACGCAAGCTGACTGTGGTCTTGCGTGGGAAAGGCGCGGGGGAAGACGCGATCATGACCTCAGACTAATTATTTAAGTATTTGATAGGATCTGATGTGCAAAAGTTTTTTGTAAATTATTTTCCTTGGCTTCAAATTTGGGTAATAGTAAACTACTTTTACATTATCACGCCTCGCGTACTGCAGAAAATCACCTTTGAAATGGGAATCTTACACAGGTGTCAGGCTAAGTAAAAACTTCTGAGACTTACTGTAAAGTTATAGTTTTTGTTTTGAACACTATAGCGCCCCCGTTCGGCAACTTCGTTTCGCGACGTAAGATATCAAGTCTCAATCATTATCATCACTTGCGACTGATGAGGCTTTCTCGTTGCATCATTTACTTACGACTGGTCAATCTCTGAAGTTTGTTGGAAACTTTGGACTGCAATGGAGAGATATCGTAAATCCTAAAAGTAAGTGACAACTAAAAGTAGGTTACAGTGAGTATTTATTCGAAACATGATTTGAGCGGCCGCTGCTGATCGGCCGGAAACGAGTATTAGTGATTTTCGGGGTTTCGGAGCGTTGATTTCTGGACTGAACGACATCTTGCGTAGGCTAGACACAATTTTGTCACAAATTCGGTGACAAACCTGCGACTACAACGGGAGAATCGGGCCTCAAACACCACAGTGAAATGTATATGCACTCCTCTGATATATTATATGGCATGTCGTTGCAGAAAGTAATAGTGGCTGTTCCAACAATATGGCATTCACGCTGAATTAGTATTTATTCGAAACATGATTTGAGCGGCCGCTGCGGATCGGCCGGAAACAAGTATTAGTGATTTTCGGGATCTTGCGTAGGCTAGATACAATTTTGTCACAAATATAACGGGAGAATCGGGTCTCAAACACCACAGTGAAATGTACATGCACTCCTCTGATATATTATATGGCATGTCGTTGCAGAAAGTAATAGTGGCTGTTCCAACAATATGGCATTCACGCTGAATTAATAAAACGATTTTTAAAAACCTTTGCCTAGGTTTCCATGAATAGTTTCAAATATTGTGCTTGGTTGGTGGCCAGGTCACGTTCCTGTTTGACAACATTTCCAGTCGATGCGATTATTATGAGCCACTGCGACAGTGTATTTTGTACTGTGAGTTACTACTAAAGTACATTTGACTCGTCCTAGCCCTGCGTACAGTGCTGT